TATAACCCCACCTAATCTACACATCCCTGATCACTACGGGCAATTTAGCATGGCCAGTCCACCTAGCCCGCACATCTAAATGTCCACTGAATGCAAAGCTGACAACATGTATGGAAGCTAATGTGGGAGGAAACTGGAGCACCCGGAGGAAACCCACGCAGACACGGGGAGAATGTGCAAGCTCCACACAGACAGTCGCCCGAGGGTGGAATCGAACCCGGGTCCCTGCCGCTGTGAGGCTGCAGTGCTAACCACTGAGCCACCGTGCCACCCCAATATTGTAGTTTCTATTCACTTTTTATTGAATATTCATGATTGTGTGCAATGTTATATTTGCCACTCTCATGGGAACTTGTAGGCTCAGCTGTCCCTCTCTCAAAGCGGTAATTGACATGTTGTAGGTGAACACAAAACCCTCTGTCAGACAACATCATGCGATCGACTCATATCACTGATGCCACCTGTTAGTTGCCACATTTTCTTACCCTTACGGCACCTACCCTAGACCCTCACCACACTCAGGGTGCCAACCCATGCCCAATTCCTTCCATCTTCTCCTACTCGCCTCGCTTGTGCCATAGAGATAAATAAGGAAGCTCAAGCTCAACTGCACACAGCCAGGTGGTGACGCCACCTTTCAACAAACAGGACACCTCAAAATTCATGTGTTCTGCTGACTTCATCTCACCTAACCCTAACCATAACCCTAACCATAACCCTAACCCTATCGCTTTTTTGAAACAAAAAGGTTTACGCAAATGACAATTCAGTGCTTCAAATATCAATGCTGGTGTGGGGTGCATGCAATGTTATGGAGATACCATTGAATTAATCTCTGCAGTGCAGTTTGCCAGTGGAACTTTGTACCCTGCATAACTCAGTCACCCTGCAGACTATGTTTCCTGCTCTTGCAGGCCTCATAACAGTCCCCCATTTATACAATGCCCTCCTCTGTGCCCAATTTCCGTTCATCCATTTATCCATTATTCACTCACTCTATTTATACAATTTGCTTACTCTATTCAGAGATACGCCTTACAGGTGGCCCTATTTAAAAGTGAAAATCCAATGCTTTTCTTTATTTTATTACTTCTAAAACAATCATTTCTCACTTGTGCGTCCTAATTCTTGAGCTTTTTATCAGTGAATTTGCCTGCATCAACCTTACCTCTTTCCTTCATGATTTTTAAAACTTCAATGAAATCATTGGAAAACTGTAACTATATTTGAGAAGGACAAAAGACAATTTCTTTCAGTAAGAAACGTTATTGATTGAATTCAAATATTCCCTAGAATTAAAAGAATATGATTAAAATTAATTGACTGTAAATGTTATTTCTCATTCATTTCCTTTCATAGATTTTGCCAAGGCTGATGGTAGCTCTCCTAAATATTGTCAACTTTGTATTCAGTGGACATTTAGGAAAAATTGAATTGATTGCGGTCAGTCTTGCTACTTTGGTGAGTTTATGTTAAGAATGTGCTCATTTACTAAAATAACGATGAAATTGCATTGCTTCCTACCAGTTTCGAGCTCAGTGCCTTTATCAGCTGATGAGATGTTCTTTGTGAAAAAGCCTGGTCTTTACCTGCTGCTCTCAATGGAAGGGCCACTAGAGCCCAGCAGTTGCTTCAGTGACCCCAGGCTAAAGAACAGGAACATCAGCTCGGTGTTCCAGCTCATCACCATTGTCTGTGACCCATCCTGGAAGTCCCATGTGTGTGGGGGGCATTGGGTGAGGGTGAGACTGGGCTCCGTCTTAATGCAGTCCATGGGGAGTTCACCCTCTGGCTCACACAGGAGGACGGCTCACTTGTGTCGGGCAATCGCTGGCTGGTGAGGTTCATGGAACTGGACCAACACCAACAACAACTTGCATTTATATAGCATATTAACATTGTAATAGGTCCTAGGGAAATTCTCACGGGGGTAATCAGACAAAAAAAGGCTTTAACACTTAATCAATGTTGAAGACACTAAAGCGGTGTGTTTTTTAAGGAATATCTCTACAGCAGGAGAGCCAGTAGACGAGACAGAGATTTACGGTGGAAATTCTGGAGTCACGACCAAGCACATGAAAGCACAACTGCCTATAGTTTAGTGAAGGAAGTGGGCAATACACAAAAGGCCTGAACTAGAGAAACACACAGATCTCAGTATGAGACATAAAAGCATAAGAACTAGGAGCAGGAGTAGGCCATTCAGCCCTTTGAACCTGTTCTGTCATTGAATACAATCATGGCTGATCTCATCTCAGCCTCAATGCAACTTTTTTGCCTGCTACCCATAACCCTTCAACCCATTACAAATTAAAAATCTATCTACTGCCTCCTTAACTTTATTCAATGTCCCAGCATCCATCATGCTCTGGGGTAGTAAATACCACAGATTCATGACCCTTTCAGAGAAGTAATTTCTCCGCATCCCTGTTTTAAATCTGCCATCCCTTATCCTAAAACTATAACCTCTCTTTCTAGAGTGCCCCACATGAAGAAACATCCTCTCCACATCTACTTTGTCAATCCCCTTTAGCATCTTATATATCTCAATTAGATCTCCTCTCTTTCTTCTAAACTCCAGACAGTATAAACTGGTCAATCTCTCCTCATAAGACAAACCCCTCATCTCTGGAATCAATCCAGTGAACATCCTCTGAACTGACTCTAATGCAACAACAGTCCTCCTGAACTACGGGGACCAAAACCGTACACAATCCTCCAAGTGCAGTCCTACAAATGCCTTGTACAGTTGCAGCAACACTTCCTTACTTTTATGCTTAATTCTGTTAGCAATAAATGGCAAAATTCCATTTTCCTTCCTTATTACCTGCTATACCTGCATACTAGTTTTCTGCAATTGATGCATGGGACCTTGATCCTTTACACCAAAGCATTCTGAAGTTTCTTTCCATTTAGATAGTAAGTTTCCTTTCTGGCCAAAGTGGGTAATCTCACATTTATCCACATTAAACTTCACCTGCCAATTTTTGGCCCATTCACCAAACCTATTCACATTCATTTGTAAATTTCTTATTTCTTCATTGCAACTTACTTTCCCCCAATTTTAGTGTTGTTTGCAAATTTGGCTATAGTCCTTCTATCCCTGCACCCAAGCCATCAATGTAGATTGTAAATAGTTGGGGACCCAAGGACTGAACCTTGTGGCACCCGCTTAACTACGTTTTGCCAATCAGAAAAAGACCTATTTATCTCAACTCTCTGCTTTCTGTTGGTTAGATTTTTGAACGTTAGAACTAGACGGCATAGCGTCAAAGTAAGGGGGAGCAGATTTAGGACTGAGTTGAGGAGGAACTTCTTCACCCAAAGGGTTGTGAATCTGTGGAATTCCCTTCCCAGTGAAGCAGTTGAGGCTTCCTCGTTGAATGTTGTTAAGGCAAAACATAGATTTTTGAATAGTAAGGAAATTAACGGTTATGGTGAGTGAGTGGGTAAGTGGAGCTGAGTCCATGAAAAGATCAGCCATGATCTTATTGAATGGTGGAGCAGGCTCGAGGGGCCGGATGGCCTATTCCTGTTTCTATTTCTTATGTTCTTATGTTAGCCAATCCTCCATCCAAAATAATAAATTATCCTAACCCCATGTGATCTCACCTTATGTGTAAACCTTTTGCAATACCTTATCAAATGTCTTGTGGAAGTCCAGATATACTACATCTACAGAATCTCCATTGCCCACCTTGCTTGTTAATTTTCAAAGAACTCTAGCAAATTAGTCAAACATGATTTACCTTCATAAAATTGTGCTGACACTCATGGATTTTTGTCTTTCCAAATGTCCTATTATTAGTTTCTTAATAATGTATTTTAATAATTTTCCAATGAGAAATGGTCTATAGTTTCTTACTTTCTACCTCCCTCCCTTTTTGAAAGGGAATTATATTAGCATTTTTCCAATCTTCCCCCGATTTGTTGCACAATATATTGCTACAAGAAACAATCTCTAATACATTCAATAATACTTTCTCCTTTGAGTCTACCCTTGTCAATTTGATTAATCCAGTCGACATATTACAATCACCCATGATTTCTGCTGTATCTTTCTTACAAGCCCGTAGCACTTTCTGGTTTATACTATGCCCCACTGTTGGACTACTGTTTGAGGACTTATAGATTACTCCCAGCAGGGACTTCTTTCCCTTGCTATTTGTTATTTTACCCAGACTGATTCTACATCTTGATCTTCAGTGCTGTTTAAATTTCTCACCACAATACTGATCTCGTCCTTTACTAACAAAGCTACATCACCTCCCTTTCCTTCCTGTCTATCCTTCTGAAACACTGACTACACTTGATATTCAATTCCTAAACCTGGTCTCCCTGCAACCATGTCTCAGTGATCATCAGCAAATCATTCACGTTTGTCTGAATTTGCATGGTTAACTCGTTAATCTTGTCCTGAATGCTTCATGCATTCAAATACAAAGCCTTTAAGTTTGCTGTCTCATCAAATGTCCTGACTCTTTTATGATTCCTTGATGCAATATAACACGCATACATTCTGTCCCTTCCTTTTCTCTTCTCATCACTGAGCTGCCTTGTCCTTTCACTCTGATTTTCTAATTTTCCAACAACCCCGCCCTGAAATATTTAGTTTAGTTTACAGTGTTGTAGGGATAGAACTGACAAATAAGAATTCTAACGTTGAGGCGTAGATTGGACTTGGGAGCCAACGGAGGTCAAGGGAACAAACTCATGGAACTTGGGAGAAGTTTGAGGTCGGGAAACAGAGTTTTGGGTGTGCTCAAGATTAGGGGAGTTGGAAGATTGGATGCCAGCTAGAAAAAACATTGAATCAGTCGAGTCTGAAGCAAAGTAAAGAGTATTATGAATTGGCACCTATTGAAGAAGGAGAGACAAAAAGTAAAGAATGGGCAAAAAGAAAACAAATAAAATCCTACTTACTGTTATTTTATAACTTATTTGCATTGTATGTATGACAATATTGTTAAATGCTTCCTTTTCTTTATTCTTTTGGACAGATAATTAGTGTATTAGGTACCTCCGTAGGTATTGGCCTGTGTATGACATGTGACACCTTCATATCTCAGGTAGGTACAGCTAACTCCAGGCAATGTAAGGGGTGGTGAATACTTATAGCTACAATAAGTTTGTTATATCAGAGGTGAATAAATCTTAACATAATGGTAGATAAATCTCCAGGATCTGATCAAGTGTATCGCAGGATGTTGTGGGAGGTTAGGGAGGAAATTGTGGGGCCCCTAGCAGAGATACTTGTATCATCTATAAACACGGAGGAAATGCTGGAGGATTGGAGGGTGGCTAATGTTGTGCCATTGTTTAAGAAAGGCTGTAAGGAGAAGCCTGAACACTATACATCTTTGAGTCTGACATCGATGGTGGGTAAGTTGTTGGAGGTAATTCTGAAAGATAGGATTTATATGCATTTGGAGAAGCAAGGATTGATTGCTAGTGTAAGGTTGCTATACTTGTCCTTAACACTGTTAAGCTTTGGGTAGGAAAATGATCCAGCAATTCTGAAACAACAAGTAAGCATTCATCTAAGAGAACAGCTTAGTATTTTATGCAAAATACTGCCAACAAGGCAATGCTCCATTATTACTGCACTATTGACTGATTGATTTTATTATCACATGTACCAAAATACAGTGAAAAGCTTTGTTTACAAGAAGTTCAGGCAGATCACAGTAAGCAAAGGATGTACAGATCAAAAAAACTTAGAGGCATACAGGTTACTTTGCAGGTTAGTAATTTTTACAGATTTAGAATTTAAGTTTAAAAGTGTAGAACGATTATAGGAAATTTTAGAGTCAGATCTGCTGTAGGAGCTCGCACGGAGTCGTCCCATGTCTGCGCCATCTTGCATCTTGGAATATCATCCTAGATTTTTGTGGTATTAATCTTCAGAATAGGATGCAAGCAAATAACTTTCTAATTCAGGGATGAGCATGTTATCCTCTGAGCCACAGCTGGAGTGGAATGAAGCATCCAAGGGTATATGAGGGGACTTTGGATATTCTAGACATTGGTAATGACAGGCATCAGCTTTTCATCCCAAAGTTGATCATGAAGTAAGCGAAAACATTTGAGAAATATTTTTGAGCTTTGTTGTCTCTGCTTGTCATTACCTCAGAATGCGGTGGATACTGGGACACTGAGTAAATTTAAGGACGTAGACAGATTTTTAATTAGTAGCAGGTTGAAGGGACATGGAGAGCTGGCGGGAAAGTGGAGTTGAGGCCAAGATGAGAGCTGCATGGCTGTATTAAATGGTGGAGCAGGCTTGAGGGGCTGAATGGCCTAATCCTGGTCCTAGTTTTTATGGGAACATTGAGAAAGTTTGCAAAAGATTTCCTTAGGGGCTGAGGTAGAATTCATAATGGAGCAAATGGTTTAATGGAAGATCAGGATGGACAGATCAAATTGTCTTTTAAAATTCCAAGCTTTCTAATACTTGTTTCCAATTGATCTTTCTTCCCATTGTTATAGAAATGAAGTAGTTCAAAAGCACTTTATACTCCTGTGGTTCTCATCTGAATGTATCTGGATTGTTTAATCCTAACCATGAATGGAATTTAGTCATTTTGGTTTAGTTAGGTGAAATGTATCTTCTAAATTTTCAACAATAGTTTAGTCATTGTAGAAAACAAATGGTGGCTATCAGAATGTGATGCGCTGGTCAATATTGATCCAATTCTCTTTAACGTTTTGTTCTGATTTTCAAATTTACGGCAGTAAGAACCTGAAGCGAATCGGAGTGATTCTCCAACGAGGGATTCTCATTCTCCTGATCGCCTGCTTTCCCTGCTGGGCTTTCTTCATAAACACTAAACACATTTTATTGGCTTTCAAACAGTCTCCTCAAGTGGCCAAGTGAGAGTCTTGTTTATATTTTATTGCAAAAGAGAAACAAAATAATCACATTTGTGTCACAGAAAGGAGACCGACTGGTGGTTCAATCATCAAATGTTTAATGAATGCAAGTGTTGGGTCAAAGGGAATGCTGGGATAGTGGTTATCATTGCCCATCTACCTTTAGTGTGGGGGGGGGCTGCAATCTCAGCTGGATCAGTATCAACCAGAGACCATGAAGAGTGAACTAATGAAATGGTGAGTCAACCATCTCTTCACCTTTAACAGTACCATAGTTAGAGAATATCAGCATGCATTTCATTGAGTCCCTACAGTGTGGAAGCAGGCCATTCAACCCACTGAGTCCACATCAACCCTCCGAAGGATAGCATCCCACCCAGACCCACCTATTCCTGTAACCCTGCATTTCCCATGGCTAACCCAACTAGCCTGCACATCTCTGCACACTACGAGCAATTTAGCATGGCCAATCCACCTAAGCTGCACATCTTTGGACTGTGGGAGGAAACTGGGGCACCCAGAGAAAACCCACACAGACACAGACAGAACGTGCAAACTCTACAAGTTGCTCGAGGCTGGAATCAAACCCATATGCCTGGCGCTGTGAGGCAGCAGTGCTAACCGCTGAGCCACCATGCCGTCCTATTTGTGGATCATTTCAGAATAGGTCCTGGCTGTTTCTTTGGAAAAGCAATCCAGTTAGGAACAGCATCGACAGTGAATATCTACCAATCACATGCTGTCTCCTTGTTTGCTTGATGGGAATTTTGTGACAATGCTGTCACTTTAAGAAATTATTTTGTCCTGGTGTTTTTAAGAGGTACTGAACTGTCCACTGAAGACGGCTTAAGTAAACAGCTTAGGAGGCCTTGGATTTTTTTTTTAACAGGCTGAATGGGTGTGGCCAGCTCGCACAGACTAGGCTTTCTAGTTTTTTGTAGCTGTAGCAGTCAGAAGCTGTTTGGGGTCCCAGAAGAGTTGGAAGCTTCAGTAAATGATTCCTAGCTGCTACTTTTGCTGAAATCTTTCTTGATGTTGTTTCCTCCTGGGTTGGAGAACTGCATGTAAGAATCTGTGTCTGAACTTGCCTTTTTGCCAAAGGGTGTATTTATGGGATGTTGCTATATTGGAACAGTTAATTAGGAATAGGTAATGTATATTTTATTTGGTTAAGTTTTCCAATAGAGGTAAGTTATTCTAAATTCCTCTTTCTTTTGTTATATTTTAACAATAGTGTTTAAATTAATTGTGTTTTGCTTAGTGTCGAGTTGTTTGACTAGTTGCATTGCATCTGGAGTAGGCATTTCAGATCACCTTTAAAATAAGAAAAAGTTAGAGTCTAGGCTACCTTCTTAAAATATTTTGGTCTGGTCTGGTCCGTAACAGAATAGGAATGATTTTAAATTTCAAAAGGGAAAATAATGCAACTAAAGGGCTCCATAAGACTGTAACCATAATTCATAGGGGCAGAAGTAGGCCATTTTGCCCATCAAGTCTGCTCCATCATTCAATAAGATCAGGGTTAATCTGATAATCCTTAACACCACCTTCCAGCCTTTTCCCATAGCCATTGAGTCATATTAAAGGGTTAATGATGGTACGGTAGGGTGTCTACAACTTCTCCAGTAACCTGTCAAACCCAGAAAATGCAGCTCTGAGGTTAGATAAAGACTAGTGGGATAAGCCAGTTGCATCTACCTTTCAAACAACAACAACCTTCCTTTTGTGATAACAAGGTATAGAGCTGGATGAACACAGCAGGCCAGGCAGCATCAGAGGAGCAGGAAAGCTGACATTTCGGGTCTGGATCCTTTTTCAGAGATGGGGAAGGGGAATCTGAAATAAATAGAGAGAGAGGGGAGAGGTGATGATGGAATGTAGATAAAGGAGCAGATAGGTCAGTGTGCCTCAGTTGGTTGCATTTTTGCCTTTGCATCACAATATTTAGAGTTCAAGTCCCACTCCAAGTGCTGAACAGGAAGACCAGTGCAGCGCTGAGAGAACACCGCATTGCTGCAGGTAGAGGGTCTTTCTTATAAGACATTAAACCGACACTCTACCTGTCTGCTGGGTAGATGCCAATCATTGTAATGCACTATTTCACAGAGAAGGGGAGTTATTTGCAGTGTTCTTGCAGATATTTATTCCAATCAATGTCACTAAAAAAAGCACGTCTGGTCCTTATCACAATGTGTTTGTGGAAACTTGCCATGTGCAAGCTGTCTGCTGTATTTCCTACATTAACATTGAAACATAGAAGATAGGAGCAGGAGTAGGCCATTCATCTCCTTCAGCCTGCTCTGCATTCAATATAACCGTGGCTGATCATCGAGCTCAATACCCTAATCCTGACGTTTCCCTCCAACTCCCTCCCCCAACTATCCAATGATCCATTTAGCTGCAAGAGCTATATCTACCTTTTTCTTGAAAGTACATAATGTTTTGGCCTCAATAACTTTGAGTGGTGATGAATTCTGTTGGTTCTGGGTGAAGAAATATCTCCTCATCCCAGTCTTAAAAAGTTTACCCCTAATCCTTAAACTACGACCCCTGGTTCTGCATTTCCTCACAATCAGGAACATCACTCCTGCATCTAACCTGTCCAGTTATAGAGTCATATAGCATGAAAACAGACCCTTCGGTCCAACTCTTCCATGCCAACCAAATTTCTCAAACTAATCCAGTCCCACTTGCCTAGTCTTGTTAGAATTTTATAGTTTTTTTTTTGTGTGAGATTCCCCCTCATTCATCAAAACTCCAGTGAATACATTCCTAATGATTCAATCTCTCTTTACATTTCAGTCAGTCATTACAGTAGCAACTACGCTTCAAAAGTATTTCATTGGTTGTAAAGTGTAATGGGACGTCTGTTTGTTTGGAAAGGTGCTATTAAATGCAAAATCTTTCCTTCTTAATTAAACAAAATCTCATCAGTTCATGAATAAATGGGATTTCAATAGAGTTCCTGTTTCAGTTCATTAATCCTCTCCATATGTCCTGTCTGTGTTGCTCTGTAACTCACTGGCTGAAGGCATCTTTCAGTTGTTCGATTTGCGCTTTGATTTCTTATTGTCACATGCACCTAGTTACAGTGAAAAGATTTGTTTTGCGTGCAGTACAGGCAGATCATACCATACAAACTGCATTAGAGTAATAGAACAGAGCGAGGAATACAATGTTACGGCCGCAGAGAAGGTGCACAAAGAGTGAGATCAACATCAAATTTAATATTTTGAGATGTTCATTTTGGAGTCTAATAACAACGGGGAAGAATCTGTCCTTGAATCTGATGGTACGTGTGTTTAAGCTTTTGTATCTCATGCCTGATGGAAGAGGTTGGAATGTTTAACTGCCAGCAAGTCCTTGCAGTCACAAGGAGCTGCCTGATGAAAAACTGGGAAAGTGAGACTCAGACATCCTCTGATTCCTGTGTCTTAGCGGGAGGTAGATACAAAACACCAAACACATGACTACTTCAGTTAAGTTTACCTGCAGTTGCAGATAGTGATAGTCTACGGTTTCCCTGCTTTTAACAACATATTCTACTTTTCTTACAGCTTAGCTCAACTCTACGTGCTGATCAGTAGTTCTGGCCTTCCTGTAAGTTATGAATGCCTGTTGACTGTAACATACACACACACACGCACGAGAATGGAAGTCCTTCATTATTTGGACAGGCCAGAACAATCCAATAAGGAATATCACAACGGATTTCCCTGGATTTCGGGGGAATTTTACTATTCATCTCATCAGGATGAAGCAAATTAATGCAGATACTGGAATGTGAAATAAAAACAGAGAATTCTAGAAATACTCAATGGTTCAGACACTGTCTGTAGAGAGTAAAACAGATTTAGCAAGTCTATGACCTTTCGCTAGTACTGTCCTCAGTCAGGTAACACAAGTGCTAGTCTAGATGTGGAATGAACATCCTGAGAAAGTGGTGGATGTGGGTACAATTGCAACATGTAAAAGACACTTGGATAAGTACATGAATAGGAAAGGTTAGGAGGGATATGGGCCAGGAGTGGGCAGGTGAGACTAATTTAGTTTGGGGTTACATACGGCATGGACTGGTTGGACCGAAGGGTCTGTTTCCTTGCTGTATAACTCTATGACTCTATAAACCTACAGACTTTTATGAAGTGGAGATGATGGTTTTGGACTGGGGTGGATAAAGTCAGAAATCACACGACACCAGATTATAGTCCAACAGGTTTATTTAAAATCACAAGCTTTTGGAGCACTGCTCCTTCATCAGATGAAGCGAACGTTGGAAGTATGCTTGAAGTTATTTCACCTGATGAAGAAGCAATGCTCCCAAAGCTTGCGATCTTAAATAAACCTGTTGGACTATAACATGGTGTCATGTGAGTTCTGATTGTAGACTTTTAGACTGTGCAAATAGGCTGTAGTCATGGTGAACAGAAACCCAGCACAGGTCTGGGTGAAACTTTTGAAAAATGTCTGAATGTCTCTTTCTTTTCTACTTCATTACTGATTGATACACTACCTGCTGCTAATTGCTTCCAATATTTTCTCCTAGGCATTACTTCTTTATCAGTTGGAGCTCAGATATCTTCACAATCAGGTAAAAGTCACTGAATGTTGGAGTGTGCTTGAAATTACTTCAAAGGGATGCAATAAGATAGCATTGGGAGTTAAATAAAACAAAGAACTGTGGATGCTGAAGATCTGAAGCAACAATAGAACTTGCTGGAGAAACTCAGCTGGTCTGGCAGTATCTGTGGAGAGAGAAACTGAGTTAACGTTTCGAGTCCAGTCCTGAAGAAGGGTCAGTGGACTTGAAACATTAACTCTGTTTCTTTCTCCACAGATGTGGTCAGACTTGCTGAGTTTCTCCAGCAATTTCTGTTCTTGTATCATTGGAAGTTGTCAGTTCCATATCTCTTATTTCGGTGATCAATTGTGAATTGGTAGAAGATTCATAATAATTCAGCAACTAATCTGGAAAAGGTGGATTTAATCAAGCATCATTCCAAAGTATTAACAGCTTAGGAACAGGGCGTTCAGCCCAATAGATCCATGCTGATATTTGTGCTACATAGAATCTTACGACCAACTTTTGCTATTTCACTTGACCAACAGATTCCTTTATTCCTTCCTTTCGCATGTGGCCTCATCTAGCTTCTCCTTAACTGCATCTGTGATATTCACCTCAAATATTCCTAGTGGCTACATAATGAAACTGATTCCTAAGTACAAAGAGATCTATTGGAGGTCAGTTCCATCTTCACTGCTGGGCGGGATATTGGTGGAGTTGATCACTGACGCCCAATTTTCATGTCACTGAAATCAAAGAGATAAAAACAGATGGTTTCTGCAATGGGTGGGTGGGTGACCTGCTTTGTCAGATTATCAACCAGACTGTGAATGTGGAAATTCCTGCAGTGTCATTCAGTTTATGAATCTCAGTCTATCGCTAATTAGCCAAGTGGTAGGAGGTAGATCTTAACATTGTCACTTTAATATTTTTCTTAAATTCATTCATAGGATGTGGGCCAGCATTTATTGGCCATCCTTAATTACCCAGAAGGCAATTGAGAGTCAACCGTGGGTCTGGTGGCACATGTAGGCCAGACCAAGTAAGGATGGCAGATTCCTTCCCTAAAGGACATTAATGATACCAGATAGATTTTTTTCCTCAAAAATCAACAATGGTTTCTTGGTCGCCATTAGATTCTTAATTCCAAATTTTTATTGAATTCAAATTCCACTATCTGACATGGTAGGATTTGAACCAAGGTCCCCAAATAATTATTAGGTCCAGTGATAACGCTATTAGTTTGGTTGTAAGTTGTATAAATCTTTGGGTTCTGGAGAAGTCCCGAAAGATTGAAAAATGATCTGAGGGAGACAAAAAAAGAGATAACAATAGGCCGATTAGCCTAACATCGATTTTTGGAAATCAAATTTGGAATCAATTCTTAAGGAAATAATAGCAGAACATTTGGAAAGTCATAATCTAATCAAGTAGAGTCTGAATTGCTTGATGAAAGGGAAATTTATTTGAGTTTTTCGATGAAGTCTCAACCAGAGTGATTCATAGAATCCCTACAGTGTGGAAAGAAATGACTGTTTTTGTTGGTGCTCTTGACGTGGAGTGGATAGGTTTCCTAGACCCATCTTCCCAAACTTAAATGAATTCTGTGTCTAATTGTGTGGAGGATCCATCTGCAGTAGCTGCTGTAAGTAATTGGGCTAACACATCAGAGGAGAGTAATTTCTCCTTCATCTTTTGAAATGTTATGGTCTGATTTGAATGCCACTGTTGGCTACTCCAGTTCCATTTCTGCTCACTGATTGCCCCCACAATGTTGATCGTTGGGGATTCATTGATGGTAATACTACTGAATGTCAAGGGGCCAGAGTTACATTTTCTCCTGTTGGAGATGGCCATTGCCTGGCACTGTGATGCAAACTACTTGACACTTATCAGCCCAAGCCTGGACATTGTCCAGGATCTTGTTTCATTTGGGCAGGGACCGCTTCAGTATCTGAGGAGTCATGAATTGTGCAGAACTTTGTGCAGTCTGTGAACACACCACTTCTGACCTTATGATGGACGGAAGGTCATTGATGAAGCAGCTGAGAATGGTTAGGCCAAGGACGTGACCCTGAGGAACTCCTGCAATGATATTCCCCAGCAGAGATGACTGATGTCTCACAACCACAACCATCTTCTCCTGCGCTAGGTACGCCTCTAATCATAGAATCATAGAAACCCTACAGTGTGGGAGCAGGCCATTTGGCCCAATGACTTCACCCTGACCCTCCAAACAGCATCTCAACCAGACCCAGACCCCCTGCCTTCTCCCTGTAATCCTGCATTTCCCATGGCCAATCCACTTAACCTGCACATCCTTGGACTGTGGGAGGAAACCGGAGCACCTGGAGGAAAACCACGCAGACACGGGGAGAATGCGTAAACTCCACGCAGACAGTCGCCCGAGGGTGGAATTGAACCTGGGTATCTGAGGCAGCAATGCTAACCACTGAGCCACTGTGCCATCCAAAATCCCATGGACTCTACCTGGTTTGGCCTACATGTGACTCCAACCCACAACAATGCAGTCGACTCTTAACTGCCCTCTGGGCAATTAGGCATGGGCAATAAATGCTGCCTAGCCAGCAATGCCCTCATCCCATGAATGAATAAAAAATTTTTAATAAAAATAATCAATTTGCTATTCAGGACAAAAGCAATTCACCCCGGTTTCCTTATTGACAGGAAAATAACCCGATTTATTGTAAACTAACTTTATTCTTTAACAATTGGCAGAGTAAAATAAAAGATTATTAATTTACTAGAACATGATTTAAACTATAAACCATTAAAGCTCCAAATGCACATACACACACTCGTTCATGAAGAAGACAGATGGACAACAGGTGGTTTGATGGAAAAATTACAGCTTGCAAAATGTAGACAGGGAAAAAAAGCTCCAAAGATCAATGGTGTGAATCAAAAGGTGGAAAGTTATTTCCCATAGCTCTTTTGTTATTAGCAATATGGACAAGCTGTTGTCAATATATTGTTGATAGAATGATAGTCGATCTTCAATTTGATAGTTTTTTATAAGGTGAACTCAGGTCTTTTCTTGTATTAGAATTCTTTCCTTCAAATTTCTTGCTTTATTTTGTCCTCAGAACATAACCCAACGTTCTGGATTACTTGTCCAGTGACATTTCCACTCTGCCACTTCCACTAATAGCTTTATTGCTTTGTTTGTATCTCAGGGGATCACCATACGTCAGCTTTTTGTTGGTTTCATCACCAACGTCTTCAATGTTGTCATCAAATACACTTTCATCTATGTGCTAATGTTGGGAGTGCCGTAAGTAGCAAGAAGTATTGAAATTCTAAAATTTCATGTATATTCAAATCCTGTTTCTGACTAGTTAAGCATACAATGAGCTGACTTCTTTTGAAGTCACACTTAACACACAAATGTGTTTTCCAGGGGCTTGGCTGTTGCCAATATTACTTCTCAATACCGTCAAACTATTCTCCTGTTTGGATACATTCGATGGAAAAAGTTGCATGTTCAGACCTGGGCAGGTAGGTTTCAGGGAAGGTCACTTACAATTTTGGGTCATGGTGTGGAATGGGCGATTTCCTTTCAAATCCTCATTATACACTCCACAAGAGGTTTTTAATATGGCAGATCCATTGAGATAAACAGATCAATCGTGATCAAGGTATCATTTCATTGGAGGTGGTTCAGAGAATGTTCACTAGGATGATCCCTAAAGGAAGCGTAAATAGGTTGGTACTCTACTCACTGGAGTTTAGAAGAATGAGAGGCAATCCCATTGACACATATGGATTCTAACGGGGCTTTGACTGAGTAAGTGCTTAGAGGATGGAAGAGTGTAGGATCAGAGGGCATTATGTCAGAAAAAAGGTGCCAATTTAAGAATGAGATGAGAGGGAATTTCTTTTCTCAGAGTGATATGAGTCTTTGGAACTCCTTGCCACAGAGCGGGGTGGGGGCAGAGTCCTTATGTATGTTTAAAGCTGAGGTAAATAGATTCTCGATCAGTCAGGAATCAAGGGTTACAGGGAAAGGGCAGGAAAGTGGATGTGAAGAATCTCAGATCAGCCATGATCCAATTTAAATGTGGAACAGGCTCGAGGGATCGAACAATCTTCTCCTGTTCCTTTTTCTCATGGTCTTACGGTTCTTGTGGAGCCAGTTTGAAAGTTGAGGTGATGTGGAAGCTAGAAATAAATTTCTCTCATCCTTCTTTATACAGTGTTAGTAACGCAATTGTTTTGTCTGCAGGTTGGTCCATTGACTGCCTGCAGGAATGGGGTAACTTTCTACGCCTGGCAATTCCCAGTATGCTGATGATTTGTAGTGAATGGTGGGCATATGATATTGGAACATTCCTTGCAGGTAAATAAATAATTTTACTTTCCACTGTTATGAGATGGGCATGAGGGTGGCATGTGTCAGTTAACCCATATTCAGTCATTCAGGACTGAGATGAGAAGGAATTTCTTAACTCAGAGGATTATGAATCTTTGGAATTCTTTACTCCAGAGGTATGTTAAGGCTCAATCATTGAGTATATTTAAGGCAGAGGTTGATTACATTTCTAGAGTTTAATGATATCAAGGAAAGAGAGATCATATCTGAATGTAACATTGACGTAGATGATTAGTTATGACCTAATTGAATAGTGAGCAGTTTTGATGGGCTGAATGGCCTAACACTGCTCCTATTTTCCAATGTGGTGGGTGATCCACCTCGGCCTCCTCCTAGTTTGCTGTGTTGTTGACCTCAGGGAATAGCGACCTGGAGTAAACACTACCCTTCAGAGGAGAGGAAAATCCGAGGAAGCATCACTCTCAGACCATTCTTAGTATACCCTGGAAGAGGTTTCTGAGTGACATTGGCAGAACCTAGTAACTATGGTTGGAATCCGGCGAATCTCTCAGGGGTGGGAGACTAGCTGGGGCCAGGACACTTAACTGTGTGTGATGCCAATGTCAGCTTTTCACCGTGGGATCAATCTGTGCAATTTAGTTCGCAGGTGGAATGATGGTGGGTGCAACAAATAAATGAATGATCATCTTTTCCATGTACTTTTATACATAGCGGGTCACGGTGGCTGGGGGTTGCAGGCGGGTCCATAGTGATGCAGTGAAGATTGAAGGTGACGGAGGGGGTGATCAGAGGTAATTGTGTGAGGGTGCAGGATGTTGGCTTCCAGAGTGGGGGGAGGGGGTGAGTGTTGTTGGAGGGCAGCGCAGTGGCTACAGACCCCTGAAACTCTCAGACAATGAGGAGGATGCCACCAGTTTTCAGGAGATGAATATCTGATCAGGAGTCATGACACTATGACTTTCACCCCCATAATGCAACTGCATGGTTCTCATCCAGGACATAGTTTGCCATGCTTTTTTTTTATTCATTTGAGGGATGTGGGCATTGCTGGCTGGCCAGCATTTCTTGCCAATCCCTGGTTGCCTTTGAGAAGGTGTTGGTGAGCTGCCTTTTTGAACCACTGCAGTCCTCCTGCTGTGGGTTCCACAGTACTATTAGGGAGGGAGCTCCAGGTTTTTGACCCAGCTACAGTGAAGGAACAGCGATATATTTCCAAGTCAGGATGGTGAGTGACTTGGACAGGAACTTGGAGGTGATGGTGTTCTCATATATTTGCTGCCCTTGTTCTTCTAGATGGAAGTGGTTGGAAGGTGCTGCCTGAAGATCTTTGGTGAATTTCTGCAGTGCATCTTGTAGATAGTAAACACTGCTGCTACTGAGCGTTGGTGGTGGAGGGAGTGAATGCTTGTGGATGTAGTGCCAGTCAAGCGAGCTGCTTTGTCCTGGATGGTGTCAAGCTTCTTGGGTGTTGTTGGGGCTGTACCCATCCAGGCAAATGGGGAGTATTCCATCACACTCCTGACTTGTGCCTTGTAGATGGTGGGCAGGCTTTGAGGAGTCAGGGGGTGAGTTACACACTGCAGTATTCCTAGCTTCTGGCCTGCTCTTGTAGCCACTCTGTTAATGTAATGAGTCCAGTTGAGTTTCTGGTCAATGGTAACCCCCAGAATGTTGATAGTGTGGGATTCAGTGATGGTAACAGCATTGAATGTCAATGACCATGAATGCATAATTGGCTTGTCACTACTTGAATGTGGATGGCTATCTGTCCTACCTACTAGAGGAAGTGCTGCGTGACTCCAGTTCCAACATCAACAACCTCACTGCTACTGAAATCTCAGGCCCGTGTGAGTACCCCATCCTCTCCAATGAACAGAGCAAGGAAGTGATACATGTGATAGGAATGAAAGGTTAACATCAAACCAAAACAGAAACATAATAAATTTTTGTGCGTTCTGTTGAAAGCATGATATGCATTAAGTTAGTTCATCTCTTGACTCTAATTATTTTGGTAAAATTTAATTTGCTGTTTGTTCACAGGATTAATCAACGAAGTAGAACTCGGAGCACAGACTATTGTTTTACAGGTTATATTCATACTGTACAGGGTAAGTGTGAGGATTCCGTAAACTTAAAGCATCATTAGGGCAGGATTGACTGAAGAATACCAATTTTAACTCTACAAGACAGCTCAATTACTCTGAGCATTTGGGGAAATAAAACATTAACTGAAGGCTAAAATTTCTCCAATTTCACTGCACTTACAGGAAAGGACTGTTACATTCTATAGAATCTGGTCCATTACAGATAACTCACACTCAACTGAAAAGACACTGGTCCTTCAATCATGCCACTCATCCATTTGTAATGTTGTTAAGTGTCATTTCAAGAGTCACTAAAATATAATCAAAGGAGGAAGCCATTCAGCTCATTTTGCCTCAATAATGTTAGTTCTTCAAACAGAACTATCTTCTACAATATTATAAAACAAAGAACTGCAGATACTGGAGATGTGAAACACCAAAAAAAACACCCACAAGTTGCTGGAGAAACTCAGCAGATCTGGCAACATTTATGGAGAGAGAAACAGAGTTATTATTTTGACTCCAATGACACTTTTCCAGAACTGCTACAGGATCTCTAGAATCCCAGTTCTTTTCTTCATGATTACACAGTTTTTCCTTTGTTCTCCCTTTTTAAATATTTACTCGACTCCCTTGTAAAGGGCCTTATCATCTCTTCCTCAGGAGCTCCGCAATCTGAAGGTAAATGTAAAATTACCACAGTCCTACCAGACCATAGGGCTGCTCTCTCATTAGAGAGAGACAAATGGTGGTGGTTTAACCTGAGGGTCACCACGCCTCAGGCAAGGGGGGGGCATTGAATTCATGGAATAGCATCCCTACAGTGTGGAAACAGGCCCTTCAGCCCAACAAGTCCACACTGACCCTCAGAGCATCCCACCCAGACCCATCCCCCTATAACCCACCTCATCTACACATCCCAGGCAATTTAGCACGGCCAATCCACCTAACCAACACATCTGTGGACTGTAGGAGGAAGCCCACACAGACACGGGGAGAATGTGCAAACTCCACACAGACAGCCACCCGAGGCTGGAATCGAACCCACTGTGAGGCAACAGTGCTAACCACTGATCCAACACGCCACCCTAGAGAAGGAGAGTCCTTCATAGTAACCTCAGCCAGTGCAGGATAGTGGTTCAATCACCTTTGTTGGGGAAAAAAAAATTCTAACAACTCTTTTAGCTGTGAGGAGAGGTTGGAGAAACTTGGGTTGTTCTCACTGGAACGACAGAGGTTGAGGGGCGACCTGATCGAGGTCTACAAGATTGTGAAGGGCATGGACATAGCGGACAGTCAGAAGCTTTTTCCCAGGGTGGAAGAGTCAGTTACCAGGTGTCATGCGTTTAAGGTGCGAGGGGCAAGGTTTAAATGTGATGTACCAGGCAAGTTTTTTACACAGAGGGTGGTCAGTGCCTGGAACTCGCTACCGGGGGAGGTAGTGGAAGCAGATACGATAGTGACTTTTAAAGGGCGTCTTGACAAATACATGAATAGGATGGGAATAGAGGGATATGGTCCCCGGAAGGGTAGGGGATTTTAGTTGTGACGGGCAGCATGTCAATACAGCTTGGAGGGCCGAAGGGCCTGTTCCTGTATTGTAATTTTCTTTGTCCTTATTCTTTGTTTGTAACTCCACCTCTGTCTTTCTAATGTTAATTGGGAAAACAGTGGCCTAGTGGTATTATCGCTGGGCTGTTAATCCACTGACCCAGGTTCTGGGGACCTGGGTCTGAATCCTGCCATGGCAGATGGTGGAATTTGATTTGAACAAATATCTGGAATTAGAACCAGGAATCCATTGTCGATTGTTGGAAAAATCCATCTGTTTCACTAATGTCCTTTAGGGAAGGAAACTGCCATCCTTACAAAAACAGAAGTTACTGGAAAATCTCAGCAGGTCTGGCAGCATCTATGAAGAAAAAACAGAGTTGACGTTTCGGGTCCAGGGACCCTTCCTCAGAACTGAGTGTCACCGGACCCTAAACGTTAACTCTGGTTTTCGATAAGCATAGCGCCCTGAAAGATGTAATCTCCATTTGAGCTATAATTCAGACCCGAAATGTTAACTCTGGTTTTCGATAAGCATAGCGCCCTGAAAGATGTAATCTCCATTTGAGCTATAATTCAAGTACTGTTCTAGCACACAGTCGATCAGTAACATTAAGAATATCGGAATATCTGTAAGGTGGAAAAAAAAATTTTTGCCAAGCTGTTAGGACTGCTATCAGAAAGTTGGAGCACCAGTTGTAGGTTTATGGGAGCAACGTAACAGGGAGGAAGGTAGAATCAGGTAAGGTTGAGGGAAATGAATTCCAAAGGTAAGGACCTACATGGTGGAAATCAAAGCCACAAATGATTGAATGATGAAAATTGGGGGTGAGAAACCAGCTAGAATTATAGAGTCATAAAAATCCACAGCATGGAAACAGGCCCTCCAGCCCAACCTGTTCATGCTGCCCAGTTTTCATAATTAAACTAGTGCCATTTGCCTGTGTTTGGTCCATATCCTTCCAAATACATCCCATCCATGTACCTGTCTAAATGTTTCTTAGATGATAAAATTGTATTCGCTTCCACCACTACCTCTGGCAGCCTGTTCCAGACACTCACCAACCTCTGCTCCCTCTCACCTTAAACTATGCCCTCTAGTTGTAGAGGCCCCTACCATGGGGAAAAGCTGTCAGCTATCTACTTTATCTGTGCCCCTCATGATTTCATAAACTTCTATAAGATCACCCCTCAGTCTCCTATGCTCCAGGAGAAATATGTGCCAGCCTGTCCAACCTGTCCTTATAACTCAAACCTTCCAGTCCAGGTAGCATCCTAGAAAAGAGATAACAAAGTGTAGAGCTGGATGAAAACAGCAGGCCAAGCAGCATCAGAGGAGCAGGAAGGCTGACATTTTGGCCTAGAAGGGTCTAGGCCCGAAACATC